TGTTCCTTCACTGGCTTACACGGTACCCTCAAGGAAGGGTCCCAAGTTCCTCCAAAGCCAGGAAGGACAAAGATGAATGTGGCTATTCCCTGACTGCAAGCACCTCTCTTAGCCCATCAGGCAAGAGAGAAAAGAGGGAGCAGATTACAGAGTGCACCCCTTCTCTGCCCAGTCTGGCATTCTCTGCCCTGGTAGCCTCCTGCCTGCAGGTAGCCCCCACTTCCCTCACTGAACAGGCAGTGAAGGAAGGTGGCACCCACCCAGGCAACGGGCTCACTGCAACAGGGAAAGTGTGCCCCACAGGTAAGCCAAGATGCTGTCTCTGCAGCCCCTCCATGCCCAGGTAGAGAAGCTGCAAAGCCCACAAGGAGGGCATTCCTAAGGCAGACACCTTGCAGAGAAAGGATTAGCAAAACATTGCCTGGGAGTCCAGAACTGAAGTGTATGTCTCCAAGTTGCAAGGTGAGGGTGGGAGTGAGGGACAGTGCCATAATACCCCACCTACCCACGGTGGCTAACATGATCATGTTCTACACAACACACTTTTAAAAATACTATTTGGGGGTCAGACATGGTGGCTTATGCCTGTAACCCCAGCACTTTGGGAGGCTAGGTGGGCAGATCACAAGGTCAAGAGATTGAGACCATCCTAGCCAACATGGTGAAACCTCGTCTCTACTAAAAAGACAAAAATTAGCTGGTCCTGGCAGCACATGCCTGTAATCCCAGCTACTCAGGAGGCCGAGGCAGGAGAACAGCTTGAACCCGGGAGGCAGACGTTGCAGTGAGCTGAGATCATGCCACTGCACTCCAGCCTGGCAAGAGAGTAAGACTCCATCTCAAAAATTCTACTAGGGTCCTGCTGCGGTGGTACACGTCTATAAACCCAACACTTTGGGAGGCCAAAGAGGGCAGATCACTTGAGGTCAGAAGTTCGAGACCATACTGGCCAACATGGTGAAATCTTGTCTCTACTAAAAATACAAAATTAGCTGAGTGTGGTGGCGCAAGCCTGTAATCCCGGCTATTTAGGAGGCTGAGGCAGGAGAATCGCTTGAACCCCAGAGGTGGAGGTTCCATTTAGCTGAGATCATACCACTGCACTCCAGCCTGGGTGACAGAGTGAGACTCTGTCTCAAAAAAATAATAAATAACAATAAAAATACCATTGGGAACTCTCCGAGTGCGAATCACTGTGTGGGCCTGTGCAGATCCATCACCTTCTTTTATCCTCACCACAGTCTGAGATGTGGGTATTATTTTTCCTCTCTCTACAGACACAGAAACAAAGCAATTGTCCAAGATCTCAAAGATGAAAAGAGGCCAAGTGAGGATGAAAGCTCGGATCTTCTAAACTTACGCAGCCCCAGTAGACTTCTCGGGAACACTGCACAGCCTCTGAAACACCTTCATGCAGTTCAGACATGGATGTGTACACGTCTCCTATAGAACACAGAGAACCAGAAACTTTTGTGGTGCTGGGGGCTATGGGGAGAGCCCACGGGAGAGGACACCCGCCCCACTCTGCTGCAATACACAGTGCTCTGCTCAGGGATGGGGCCATGGTGTGCTGTTGTTACACAGGGTCTCTCTGTCGAGGAGGGAAGATAAGTCTGTCCTGCAGTGTTTGCCATTTTCCATGGTGCAAATATTCCAAGGCTAATTTTACGCTGCCACTGTGACGTTGCTGAATGCAGAGCTGGGAAGAGACACACACCATCAGGTCTCCTGAGTTTGCTCAAGCAGGCCCAGCACACACCATGGGTCAGGGGTGACAACCAGAGACTGTCCCAGGCTGGGAGTCAGGAACGCGCATCCAGGAACAAACCGCCGATGCCTGAGAGAGGAAGGGGATTGGACAGAGCTTCCAATTCTGGGGGCTGCTGAGAGGGGAAGAGGGAAGTGTTCAGACAATAACTTGAGTTGACAGTCCAGACACGCCCATCCAGGGCTCAGCACCCAGCCACTACCGCCCTGACCCAATCAGGTTTAGCCAGTTGGGTGTCCTGCTGCTGGCAACGGCTCCTGATTCGGCAAATATTATGAGGCCTGTTGCTAAGGACAGCCTCCCAACACCCCAGAGGGTGAAGGGCAACTTCCAGGGGAAAGTTGCCAGGATTCCTACACCCCAGGGACATTCAGTCAAAGCTGCAGCAGGAACTCCTGGACTGGAAGATGGGGGTGGGGGGTGGGGGAGATTACATGAACCAGCTCCCTCCCTGTCAACTGTCTCACCAGCCTCCCTCCTCTGGCCATCTGAGAGCTGTGCCCTGGGTGTTGGAAGTAAGGCTCTGCCCCTGTCTTCAAGGAACTTCCATCTGAGAGGAGATCTGTATTTTCAAAACTGCAAGCTACAACCCACTAGTGGATTGCAAAATCAATTGCATGAGTCTTCACCAGCACCTGCGTGTGTATCACACGTAGTAGGGTAATATTGCACCATGAAAGTTTGTTCCGTGTGTGTGTGTGTTGTGTGTGTGTGTGTGTGTGTAGAACCGCAATATAAAATGAATTTATTACTAGTGATTATTGTTCAAAAAAAGTTTCAGAAACTCCCTGATAGAGGATGTAGTCCCCACACCCCCACACACAAACACACACAAACCCAAGAAAATAAGACCAGAAACAGGAGCAGCGTTAGATGTCAGGACTGGGGGATAGAACATAGAGGTTTGGTCTGGGTAACTTTTCCAAAGGAGAATAATAATAAAAAGCAGAGTTAGAAAGGGGAAACAGGAGACTGCAGAGCCTCTCCCAATCTATCCTGGAAGGGAGAGGAAATTCTCTTCATATCTAATCTAATCCCTACAACCCACTGACATGCTCTTCCCTGCAGACCACTCACTGCTCAAAAGGAAAACCCACAGCTTCCTCCTCTAGGTAACCACCTTTCCTGGGTCATGGCAGTGACACAGCTGGTCGGGGCTAGGGAGGGTGGGGTGACCTGGGCTCGGGGGCACAGATAGCAGCATATTGGGCCACCAGGGAGGGCCCGATGCTGCAGGTGCTGGGGCAGCACAGAACCACATCAGACTCGTGCTCGCCCTTGAGGAACATCACCTCTAGTTAAGAAGGCCAAAGTAACACATGCCTAGAGCAACCCAGCAGCAGAAGTATCCCACAGGGGCATAACACTTGCCAGTGTAGAATGGCAGAGCAGTGAGATGGCACAGATCATCTCCTCCAACACGCCGTTTCACTGCAGAAGAAACTGAAGGCCAGAGAGGAAGAGCAACAGGCCAAGGACTCCTAACAAGGATGGGACTAGAGCCCGCTAGGCCAGGACTCATTTCATCTTGCAATATGGACAGCCCGAAACAAACCCTGAGACCGGGATAGAGACGCGGGGAGGGGGACCTCAACACCCCCTGCTTCAGACAAGCTCATCCATACTCTTATCCACCCATCAACACTCACTGGGCACTTCTCAGTGCCAAGTACCGTGCTGGGTGCTTCAGACGCAACGAATAATCCCGTCTAGGGGGGAGTGGAGTGCACCTGCTGCCCTCCAGGAAAGGAGACGGGCTCTGTGGCCTCGCTGACCTGCTGTAGCCTCCTGTACCAGCAGGAAGCTCTCAGATCTAGCTCACTCCTTCCTGCTGCAACCTCAGCCCAGTCCCCCCTGGCCTTAGAGGCACTGCTTGCTGGCCTGGCCTGGCAGGTGGTGAGGGTGCTCACACGGCCCAAGGCCCTCTCCCAGCTTCTGAGTCAGCCTGGTCCATTGTTCCAATGACTCTGCCTGCTAAGGTGGCATGAAAGCCCAGGTGAAGTGTTTAACCTTCACCTGCCAGCTGAAGCTTGTGGGTGAAGACGGGGGCAGAGAGAGGGAGAACTGGGGAAGGCTGAGGTTGGGTGGGAAATCAGAGGGGGTAGAACAGGCAGGTCTCACCCACTGCCTGGCTTCTTAAAGTCAAAGTTTGTAGTTTTGTTGTTTGTTTGTTTGTTTGTTTTGAGACAAAGTTTTACTCTTGTTGCCCAGGCTAGAGTGCAATGGCGCGATCTCGGTTCACTGCAACCTTCACCTCCCGGGTTCAAACGATTCTCCTGCTTCAGCCTCCTGAGTAGCTGGGATCACAGGCATGCACCACCACATCTGGCTAATTTTGTATTTTGAGTAGAGACAGGCTTTCTCCATGTTGGTCAGGCCGGTATTCAACCCCCGACCTCAGGTTATCTGCCCGCCTCGGCCTCCCAAAGTGCTGGGATTATAGGCAGAAGCCACCTCACCCGGCCGGGAGTTTGTAATTTTAAAGGCATAGAGGGGGACCTGGCTTGGTGGCTCACACCTGTAATCCCAGGACTTTGGGAGGCCGAGATGGGTGGATCACCTTAGCTCAGGAGTTCAAGACTAGCTTGACCAATATGGTGAAACCCCATCTCTACTAAACATACGAAAAAAATTATCCAGGTGTGGTGGCCCACGCCCATAGTCCCAGCTACTTAGGAGGCTGGAGGCTGAAGCAGAAGAATCACTTGAACCCAGAAAACAGAGGTTGCAATTAGCTGAGATCGAACCACTGCAGTCCAGCCTGGGCAACAGCATGAGACTCCCTCTCATAAATAAATAAATATGTAGACGGAGAAGATCCTAAGCCTTGTGTGCTTCCTTCTCTTTATAAAAATAATACTCAGAACTGAAAATGTTAAATCAATAGACAATAAAATAAAATGAAAAAAAATAAAACTCTTCTAAAATATTGTCACCTAGAAGTAGCCACTATTAACATTTTAGTGTTTAACCTTCCAGCTGTTTCTATACACAAATATCTTTCAACTTATCCAGTCAGCACATATTTATTGGACACTTACTGTGTGCCAGGCACTATTCCAACAATGGGCATACAGCAGTAAACAAAACAGATAAATGCTGAGTGAAGTGGCTCACACCTGTAATCCCAGCACTTTGGGAGGCCAATGTAGGGTCCAGTCCTGCAAGGTCCTGTGAGCCCCTCTCTGCTGGTGTGGAGATGAGAAACTATGGAAATAAAGACACGGGTAGAGGGTCAGGGGTTAGTGAGCCGGAAGTGAGTGTAATAAAGTTTCTCCAGGGAGGCAGGGCCCGGGAAGAAAGTTGGAGCGGTAACCTAAGCTGGCAGTGGCGTGATCCAGAACCAAATCGGCCCGCGGTGCGGTGCGGAGACTCCATGAAGCCCTGTACATGGGCTGTGTGGAGGTCCTGCAGTCAATGCGTGCCCTGGACTTCAACACCGGGACTCAGGTCACCAGGGAGGCCATCAGTCTGGTGTGTGAGGCTGTGCCGGGTGCTAAGGGGGCGACAAGGAGGAGAAAGCCCTGTAGCCGCCTGCTCAGCTCTATCCTGGGAAGGAGTAACCTGAAATTTGCTGGAATGCCAATCACTCTCACCATCTCCACCAGCAGCCTCAACCTCATGGCCGCAGACTGCAAGCAGATCATCGCCAACCACCACATGCAATCTATCTCATTTGCATCCGGCGGGGATCCGGACACCGCTGAGTGTGTCGCCTATGTTGCCAAAGACCCTGTGAATCAGAGAGCCTGCCACATTCTGGAGTGTCCTGAAGGGCTTGCCCAGGATGTCATCAGCACCATTGGCCAGGCCTTCGAGTTGCGCTTCAAACAATACCTCAGGAACCCACCCAAACTGGTCACCCCTCATGACAGGATGGCTGGCTTTGATGGCTCAGCTTGGGATGAGGAGGAGGAAGAGCCACCTGACCATCAGTACTATAATGACTTCCCGGGGAAGGAACCCCCTCTTGGGGGGGTAGTAGACATGAGGCTTCGGGAAGGAGCCACTCCACCCACTGCCCAGACCCCCAGCCACTTGGGAGCTGCACTGCCTATAGGACAGCCTGTTGGAGGAGATCCAGAAGTCCGAAAACAGATGCCACTTCCACCGCCCTGTCCAGCAGGCAGAGAGCTCTTTGATGATCCCTCCTATGTCAATGTCCAGAACGTAGACAAGGCCCGGCAAGCAGGGGGTGGTGCTGGGCCCCCGAATCCTGCCATCAATGGCAGCACACCCCGGGACCTATTTGACATGAAGCCCTTTGAAGATGCTCTTCGGGTGCCTCCACCTCCCCAGTCGGTGACTATGGCTGAGCAGCTCCGAGGGGAGCCCTGGTTCCATGGGAAGCTGAGCCGACGGGAGGCCGAGGCACTGCTGCAGCTCAACGGGGACTTCCTGGTGCGGGAGAGCACGACCACACCTGGCCAGTATGTGCTCACTGGCTTGCAGAGTGGGCAGCCCAAGCATCTGCTACTGGTGGACCCTGAGGGTGTGGTTCGGACAAAGGATCACCGCTTTGAGAGTGTCAGCCACCTCATCAGCTACCACATGGACAATCACTTGCCCATCATCTCTGCGGGCAGCGAACTGTGTCTACAGCAACCTGTGGAGCGGAAACTGTGATCTGCCCCAGTGCTGTCTTCCAGAAGATGCCCTCCAGTCCCCTCCACCCTATTCCCTAACTCTCGGGACCTCATTTGGGAGTGTTCTGTGGGCTTGGCCTTGTGTCAGAGCTGGGAGTAGTGTGGACACTGGGTTTTGTATCCAGCTGAGTGAGTCTGAGTCAGAAGCCTGGGGAAGAATCCTACTTCTCCCCAAACATTAATCACCAAAGTATTAATGTACAGAGTGGCCCCTTACCTGGGCCTCTCCTGTGCCAACCTGATGCCCCTTCCCCAAGAAGGTGAGTGCTTGTCATAGAAAATGTCCTGTGGTGACAGGCCCAGTGGAACAGTCACCCTTCTGGGCAAGGGGGAACGAATCACACCTGTGGGCTTCAGGATACCCCAGACCCCTCTCAGCGCCCCCCCAACCCCCATGTTTAAACTTTGTGCCTTTGACCATCTCTTAGGTCTGAAGATATTTTATGCAAAGAGTTCTTGGGCCCCTGAGTTCAATGACAGGGATGCCAACACCTTCTTGGCTTCTGGGACCTGTCTTCCCCTTGCTCAGCATCCTCTCCGGTTTGGGCTGGGAGAACAGAGGCAGGAGTGGCAACTGTCCCCTCTCCCTGGGGATATGCAACCCTTAGAGATTGTTCCAGAGCCCCCCTCCCGGCCAGGGGGGAGATGGACCCCTCCCTTGCTCAGTGCCTCCTGGCCGGGGCCCCTCACCCCAAGGGGTCTGTATATACATTTCGTAAGGCCCGCCCTCCCATGTTGCATGCCTGTTGTACTCTACAGCCAAAGTGCTTCCTCCTCCAGCCTGTGCCCTGCCTCCCCTTTGGGATGGGAGGTGGGGTGACGAATTTGGGCCCCTTGTACAGTTAACTCTCCCAGGTGGATTTTGTGGAGGTGAGAAAAGGGGCATTGAAACTCTAAAGCAGTAGACAATCCCCAAATACCATCTGTAGAGTTGGAACTGCATTCTTTGAAAATTTTATATGCACATATTTTAGGGCTGTAGACTTACTTTCCTAATTGTTTTCCATGGCTTATTCTTGAGCACAAAATGATAATCAATTATTACATTTATACATCACCTTTTTGACTTTTCCAAGACCTTTTACAGCTCTTGGCATTTTCCTCGCCCAGGCCTGTGAGGTAACTGGGATCGGCAGCATTATCTTTTATACCAGAGACCTGAGGCAGATGACACTGATTTCCAGATAGGACTAGAAAAACTTGGGCCTCTTACCGCGAGGCTGAGAGGCAGAAGTTTGCCCGAATGCCTGTCAGTTTCACGGAGGGGAAACGCAAAAGCTGCAGTTCCTGAGTACCTCCTACAAGCCACACCGGAGCAAGCCGGCCCCCTCCTTCGGCCTGCGGATAAGGGAGTTGACCGTTTTCATCCTGGCCTCCTCTTGTTGTTTGAATGTTTCCACGGGTCTCACTTATACCAAAGGGAAAACTCTTCATTAAAGTCTGTATTTCTTCTAAAAAAAAAAAAAAAAAAAAAGACACAAGACACAGAGATGGAGAGAAAAAGAGTTTGGGTCCAGGGGTCCACTGCCAACCAAAGCTCAGAGTCCGGCAGCGGCCCCGAGTGCCTGGAGGCTCTGACTTGTATTGAGTAGGAAGCAGCAGGCAGGGTAGGTAGGGCCAGGCACCGGTGGTCAGTGACAGGGTCAAGTCAATCACGTGTCTTGGAGATAGGGGGTCAGGACTTCCAAGTGGCTGAGGAGAGGAGAAAACGTAATGCATCAGCACTTTTCTCATAGGTCAAGAAAGAACAAAGACATTAAGATTTCTGTTACCATTACTGATTCTTATCTTTTAAGAAAAAGAGGAACCAGGTGCAGAAGCGGAACGTGAAAGTAGACGTGGAACGTGACCACTGAAGCACAGCGCTGCAGAGAGACAAGCCCCCGGATGTCTGCGTGTCTCCCTGGCAGCCGCCAGGCCACCACAAGAGCTCGGAAGAGCAGAGTTTTCTCATCAAGGAGATGTCTTGGCCATCTTGGACGTCTCCTTCACTAGCTGGTTAAACAGCGGGCGCTTTCCCAGTGTTGGCGCTGCCGCACAACGGAGGGGCCCTCCAGCAGCCTTTATGCGGGCGTAACAGAGGGCTTACAGCATCTTGCCTTAGGGTCACTTTGTTCACAATGTCATCTCAGTTCCATGCTTCATAACCTGATAATCATTAGTAAAATTAAAAGGTTATATTGAGTATATATATTTCTGTGTTTACATATGAATAACTATGCGATCATTCATGATTATATACATAGGAATAACTAGGTATCTATATCTCTAATTCTTTTCTAGTTCTGTATTCATATGGGAACAGGCTGAGGCTTCAGACCCTAGCCTCAGCACTTGTGGGGTCTCCCATGGAGTCTCCCCGCCACAGGCCAAGGCAGGAGGATGGCCTGAGTCCAAGAGTTTGAGGCCAGCCTGAGCAACACAGCAAGATTCTGTCTCTACAAAAATCAAAAATTAGCTGGGCCTGGTGGTACACACCTGTAGTCCCAGTTATTCGGGAGACTGGGGTGGAAGGATTGCTTCAGCCCAGAAGGTCAAGGCTGCATTGAGCTATGATAGCACCACTGCACTCCAGCCTGGACAGCAGAATAAGACCCTGCATCTAAAAAAAATAAATAAGTAGAAGGAATACACTCTAAAATAATGATGAAAAGTAAATATACAAACCAGTAAAAGAGTTATTTACTATCAAGCGTTATGTACTGTACGTAATTTCAGGGGCAATATATTTATCCAATTGGCAGCACAGTGGGTTTTTACACCAGCATCTCCACAAACACGTAACACCTTTTGATACATTATGACAGCTATGATGTCACTAAGCAAGATGAACTTTTCAGTTCCATTATAATGCATGGAACCATTGCCATATATGCACCATATATGCAACAGAGATATCATTATGCAATGCATGACCGGACTTATGTGTCTGATATAGCAGTATATTTCACTGCACTAGAAGCATCATCTATTCATATTAACATGTATTTCGAGGCTGGGCTCGATGGCTCACTCCAGTAATCCCGGCACTTTGGGAGGCCAAGGCAGGCGGATCACTTGAGGTCAGGAGTTCAAGACCAGTCTGGCCAATATGGTGAAACCCCATCTCTACTAAAAATACAAAAATTAGCCGGGCACAGTGGCCAGTGTCTATAATCCCAGCTACTCAGGAGGTTAAGGCAGGAGAATTGCTTGATTCTGGGAGGTGGAGGTTGCAGTGAGCTGAGATTGAAGCACTGCACTTCAGCCTTGGTGACAGAGTGATACTCCTTCTCAAAAAAAGAAAGCCAGGCATGGTGGCTTATGCCTGTAATCCCAGCAGTTTAGGAGATCAAGGCAGGTGGATCACAAGGTCAGCATATCAAGACCATCCTGGCTAAGCCAGTAAAACCCCATCTCTACCAAAAATACAAAAAATTAGCTGGGCGTGGCAGCATGCATCTGTAGCCCCAGCTACTCAGGAAGTGAGGCAGGAGAATTGGTTGAACCCAGGAGGCAGAGGTTGTAGTGAACCAAGATCGTGTCATTGCACTCCAACCTGGGTGACAGGAAACTCCATCTCAAAAAAAAAAAAACTATATTTTACATGAGTGGGATCATGTCACTTACACATATGAATTTAAGCAGGCTTTCCCCCATCTCTGTCAATAAATACACCCTTAGATTACTGTGAATGGCTCAGAATATTCTCTTGCACAGATTCTCAGGGCTTTTCACAAGTCCACCGCCTGATTTATTTCCCAGAGGAGACCTGAGGTTTGCTCTAGAAGCCCCATCTGATCACAGACACACACACGCACACGCCCACAATCACACATACACATGCTGGAGTCCATAGGAGCCAGACAGTGTGCAGTCTAATGCAGTCCTGGTCCCAGACCCATTCCCGGTATTCCCTTGCCAGCAGGAGCAGGAGCTGGAGCAGGAGCCAGTTTGTCCCACTCTTGACTCCCCCTGCAGGTCGCCAGGGTTCTTGCAACCCAGACACCCGGGACCTGGGCGGAATGCCTGGAACGGAAACAAGAGGCAGTTCATGATCTCCCTGAAGCCTCTTCTCTGCCACCATCTCCCTGGTGCCTGATGTGGGGATAAGGCCAGAGACCTCCAAATGGGGACTCAAAGCATTGGTGATTCCCAGGCTTTTTTCTGGACCTTGAGAAGTCCCAGTGGGCCCTGGGCCAACCTGGGAAAATTCACAGTGCATGGACTCTGAGAGGCTAACTCTTGGGATCCTGGAGATGCCCTGCCTTGGGCAGATCGCAAAAGTGAGGCTGAAAATCAGGGAGAGAGGGCCCCTAGGGGCTGATGGTCAAGATCAGATCAAGGGTCTGATTGCACAGGTTCAGGCGCACTATTGCCTAGCTGTGTGGCCTCAGGTTAGTGACTTAACCTCTCTGTGCCTCCCTCCATTTTCCAGCTATCATAGGGGAAAAATCAGCTGAGCACAGTGGCTCATGCCAGCAATCCCAGCACTTTTGGAGGCCGAGGCGGGTGGATCACCTGAGGTCAGGAGTTTGAGACCAACCTGGCCAAATTGGCGAAACCCCATCTCTACTAAAAATACAAAAATTGGCCAGGCATGGTGGTGGATGCCTGTAATCCCAGCTGCTCGGGAGGCTGAGGCACAAGAATCACTTGAACCCGGGATGTGCAGGTTGCAGTGAGCCAAGATCCTGCCTCTGCACTCAGCCTGAGTGATAGACAGAGACTCAGTCTCAAAAAAGAAATTGGGAGGGGGAATGATCATTCCTATTTTCTGGGGCTGCTGTGTGTGTTAACCAAGATGACACGTGCAGAGTGCTCAGAACGGTGCTTTGCACAGCAGTGCCCACCAACTATTCGATTTTGTTATTATTATTATATCATATAATAACGGAATATAATGATATTATATACTATTACTATCTTCTGAGCCCCACTCCCCACCAGGCTTGGCCTACGAGATGCTGACTTGCCTGGGTGTCCTCTTGCCCTCACTGACATCTGAGGGCAACCATCGCTTCTGGCCCGCTGAGATGAGAGGGGCAGAGACAGAGAGAAAGAAAGAAAATGTGTAGGGACAAGAGTATGCAGGGGGCTTGTAGGATGCGTGTAAATAAATGGGAGCATGAATGCGAATGTGCAGAGGTCACCTATGATCATGCAGCACCATGTGCGGACCAGTAAAAGCATAGGGGCTATGGAAGGACAGTTTTGTGTGAGTGCGTCCGGCTGCGGTGTGTGTGGAAGGGTGGCGTGGGAATGTGTACCTTCTGTGGATGGGTATCATGGACGCTTGCATGTATCAGTATGTAAGGGTGTGTGTGAGAAAGACAGAAGCTAGGCATGTGTGTATGGGGGTGTATGATAAATGTGCAGGTGTGGCTGCGTGAAGGTTGTGTGTGAATGTTCACCTTCCCCACCCCCACCCCAAACACACGTCTCTTGGTGAGGGGGCTTCATCAGAGACAAAAGTACCCTACCCCAGGCTGAGGGGACAGTGGCCCTGACTCTGGAACAAAGAATGTTTTTCTAAGCTTTCAGGATTCCTGAAGAAGAGCTGTTAGCTCAACCAAGCCCAGCCTTAAACCTGTCCCTCTGATCGAAACTCAGGACGGAAACCAGCAGCGGCTGCCCCAGCCCTGCACCCCGACCCCTGCCCGGGAATGTTCTTTGCCAGCAGAATACATGTCACGCCCCCAACTTCTCCTGCCCTGCTTGAGTCCACGGGCTCTCCCCAGCCATTCTGAGGGTACCCAGGGCAGCGCCCAACCACCAACAGAAGTTTAAGCCCCTCTTCAGGCTTTGAGAGCTACCTGCCCAGGCAGGCACTACCCCAGGGCAAGCAGGCCACTCCCTGCCAGGGGGAACTGAGAGGCGGGGGTTAGGAGGTGGCAGCTTCAGAGCACACAACCAACCCCCTTACCGGGAGGCAG